ACAGAATGAGTTGGTTCCATCCCCACAGGGGGTCTCTGGCCACTTCAGGGCTGTTGCAAATGCAGCCTCTGAGAGGAGTGAGCGGAAAGACAGAGACCAGGTTCTTTGTTTACTGCTCCTTTTCTGCCCTTACAAGAAAATTCCACTCCTAAGAGAGAAACTATCAAGTGCATCTTCATTCACAGTCACCAGCTTATGCTGTACAAAGTTAGATGGTGCTGTTTGAACTACCTAAGTCATTGCCAAATGTGGCTGCAAGAGCATTTAGTGTAGGAAAATAATCACCAAGAACTTTGGTTAATATTTCTTCGGATGATGGAGAGTAAACAACAAATTATTTTGAATGTATCTACCATGCCCTCCAAACCTGACTGTTCATATCTTTTTTTTATATATATAAATGATTCCTAGGCTTCTCTTGAAAGGCAAAGATATAGGAGCTGCTGCTGTGGCGTAGCGGGCAAAGCTGCCACCTACAGTGCCAGCATCCCATATGGATGCTAGTTCGAGTCCCAGCAGCTCCACTTCTGATCCAGATCTCTACTATGGCCTGGGAAAGCAGTAGAAGATGGCCCAAGTCCTTGGGCCTCTGCACCCGTGTGGGAGACCTGGAAGAAGCTCCTGGCTCCTGGCTTCGGATCGGCACAGCTCCGGCCATTACAGCTAATTGGGGAGTGAACCAGCGGATGGAAAACCTCTCTGTCTCTGCCTCTCCTTCTCTCTCTGTGTAACTCTGACTTTCAAATAAATAATAAACAAATCTTAAATGAAAGGTAAAGATATAATCAAGTTCTCTTCACTCTACCTCAAAGAGTAGATTATAAGTAATTTATACTCAATACGCTTCCAGGAGAATTTTAAGAATTATTAAATTGTGAGTTACTGCTATTTTTTGTTTTATCACATTATGAACCTTCAAACCAAGGGAGAAGAGACATTGAGTATTATTTCTAAAAACAGACAATATGTAGCACAAAGCATCTTAGAATGAATGGAAGTTCTTCTAATTGGATGATCACAGGCTTATCTGAGAATCCATGTCCTAATCAACCAAGTGTAAAATAATATCCAATTTGCTGCACTGTGAAGACAACATAAATTTGTAAATCCAAAAGATGTGTTATATGACTCAGTCATAATGAAGAAATGTTCTCCTTTTCTCTGATGATGTTCCTATATTTGGAGTAAACTAGATCAAAATCAACATCAAAATCAATCAAATCAACAGCCACAACTTTTCTGGGCTCCTTTTCCAAGCAAAATAAAGCAGCAGGTATGACTGAATCAGCCCAAGTGCTCAAACATCTGTACTTCTTTTTGGTCACTCTGGTCTCTTTTCCAAGGCCGAGTGCTGAATCATCTATCCTCACCAGCACCAGCTACCTTTACTGAGTGTTCCCTGAACCTGTAGCCATCAGTGAATCACCCAACCCTCAGAGCAGCTCCACATCGGCACCCATTCATGAACTGACCAAGCCAAGAACATCGTCCAAACCCTACACCCACAAGGGCAGAAAGGAGAAGACAGTGAGGACTGAGCAGGGGAGGCTTCCACCTTTTGCTTTAACCTTAAAGGGGTGAGATGTTGTCACTCTTGCTAGGAGCGCTCCTCCCTGAGGTGGTACCCAGCACAGACTTTACACTTGGCCTGTGCTGGTTGTTGAAGTATCAGCACTCTTCTATGATGGTAATAACTGCTGCCAGACCACAGAGTAGCACACACTGCCAGATGTCAGCCTCAGGTGTCCCTGGGGCACCCTTCACCTGCAGCTGTAAAAGGTTAGCCCAGCACAGCAGGAGGTCTCCGGACCATTCCAATGCCCTTCCTGATTTTGAACAGTGATATGCAAACTTCTACTAGCTGGTTCCCCTTTGGTGTTCTGGATAATGTAGAAGATATATTGCTTTCTACATGTAAATGTTTAATCTCTGTCCAATGATAAATATTAATCAAGAGCTTACTATGTGGACTTAGTCTAGGTACTGTTATTTTACAGATGGTCAGTTTGTGTACATCTAAATTTTGAAGACTTTGCCTCAGTCCACCATCAACCAAAGGGAAAAAAACTTTCATAAGTATTTTTATAGATCTGCTATTTTCTCCTAATTATGATAACCTCCTGTCACTGTGATAAACCATGTAACAGGTGAAAGGGGCAGCTTTTGCTGGGTGCTTAGCTCCTTTATTCATAAAATAATACTTTAGGAGAATTTACCTTTTAAAAAGTCCTGCTAGTTTCCAGATGATAGATGGAGGTGACTGTTTGGTGTAGTGGTTAAATGCTACTTGGAATGCCTGTACCCCATATCAGAGTGCCTAGGTTCAAGTCCCAGCTCGGCTTCCCAGTCCAGCTTTCTGCTAATGTGTACTTTTAGAAGCATCAGGTGATTGCTCACATATATTTGTGGGGAGCAACCCGGACTAGACTAAGTTACTGGAATTAAGACTTATTCTATGCATCTGCTCTCCCACAATATGGCGCTGGGAGAGGAGAAAACAGCTTCTACGCAGCTGCCTCTTGCCAACTTGAGTGATGACCTCCAGGAGCTGATCCTGCTCCTGATTGGAGGAGAGCAGCGTACTCGGCGTGTGGGCAGCTGAGTTGGGATTGGCGGAAGAGGACTATAAAGGAGGAGAGAGACAACATGCACCAGGAACATCTGAGGGGAACATCTACCTGAAGGAACACCTGTGCAGCCCCCGAGAGAGCCGGCCGGCGGTGTGCCGCTCCCCTGCGGAAGTGGGGAAAGTGGCCAGGGGGAACCGCCCTTCCACGGAGGTGGAAGGGACAGTAGCCAACCCGGGAAGAACCAGCAGCAAACCCGGGAAGGGCTGAGCAGACAAAAGAACAGCGCAGGGTTCAGTGTCGCTCCTCCACGAAGAGGGGGAGCGACATAATGGTGCCGTGACTCGGATATGAATCCTAGGCAGGGTTTAGTGTCGTTCCTCCATGAAGAGGGGGAGCGACATATATGGGTTCCTGCTACCCATATAGGAGACCCAAATTTTGTTTCTGGCTCCTGGCTTTGGTCTGGACCAGCCCAGACTGTTGCAGGCATTCGGGAAGTGAACTGGTGGATGGAAGGTCTCTGTCCATCTCTGTTTCTCTCTCAGTCTTTCTGTGTGTGTAACTGCTTTTCAAATAAATAAATATGAATATTTTTAAAAATGTGTTATAAAATCAACATCATATGGAATGGAAGGAGACAGAGGCCTTGAGAGTCATCTCACAGGAAAATGTAGGAAAGTCTTCTCCCTGTCCTTATATTTCTTTCTGATCATCTTGCAGTGTTAGATTTCTCCAAAATTAATCTCCTTAGGACTCTATCACACATCAGAGGATTCTTCATGAATTCTCAGGGCCACACAAATTCCAGATAAACTATGGTCTCTACATTCATTGATACAATTTCTACCACAGTGCTTCAAAAAGTTCATCGAAAGGGAATTAAAAAGATAAGCTTATTTTGGTCCAAAAATTAAAATCCATAAATTTTTTCATAATATACATTTTACATCTAGTTTGCACCTAATTAATATTATGGTTAGATGAACTCTTGGTAAAATACAAATTAAATAAGCTTCGTATTCACAGGGTTGTGCGACTTACTGGTTCCTGCACATAGGAAAAAAAGATTTTCGTACCAACAGTGTGTGTCGATCTCACAATGAGTCATAGATTTTCTTTCTGGTCTAAGATTGGAAAAATTCCAAGAAAAGAAATATTTGGAAAACTACAAAAGAGACAAGTTCCCAGTGATCAGAGATAACATCCTCAGTGCTCAGAGATAACTTGAAACTAAGATTGTTACAGGATTCTGTGAGAGAGGAAGAAAAAGGGGATGGGTGTGGGGAGAGAGAGAGAACAGTTGAGGAGCGGTGTTTTTTCTTCATATTATTTGTTGAACTTTTTACTAGATGTAGGATCAATCTAATGAGTATAAATAAACTGAAAATCGATCTTTGTAAAAATTAACAGTAGGAACAGGAAAGGGAGGAGGAAGGAGGGTGGGAGTGTGGGCGGTAGGGAGGGTTTGATAAGCATCACTTGTTCCTAAATTTGTATATATGCAATACGTGAAATTTGTATAATTAAAATGAAATTTAGAAAAAGAAAAGAGCCACAGAAAGATGGCAGCACGTGCACGCAATGGTGCACTTCCAGATAAGCCCAGCTTCCTACATGTGGGAACACTGATTTGGGATGAAAAAGAATATGTATGTTCACTTACTTGCACTTCAGTCAAGAAGTTACAAAAGAGCTCAAAATAGTCACATTTCTTTCTATTTGACCACCAATGAGGTTTCTCCCTATTTCAAACAATTTTTGGCTGAGTTGACCCAATAAAGCTTTTTCACAGAGATTAATACTCATTTGCTTTACTGTGGACATTGTGCTTTCCTACCCCCTACTGCAGATGACTCTCTTAGTAACCTGTATGTCTGTTTGGGCTGGTGATAAAACCAGCAGTAGGTACAGGAGGTTTTTAGGTTCCAGTTCTACAGGTCTGTGACTCTTGGGGCTAGAATTGGCCAAAAAGGAGCAGTTGATTTTGCAGTTTTGCCAACCACAGAATCCATGTCTGTTTGCATGGTAATTTGGAGCCTCATGTCTCAGGCACACAACAAATCCTCTCAAAGTGGTATGTGGCATTGAGATTTCACTTTGAACTAGATCATGGTTTCAGGGTAAAGTTGAGGTGTGCCATGTACCTTTCTAAAACACACTATGCAACTAAGGGTCAATGCCCTGTCAGGACTCTCAAAATTAAAGAATTATCAGGAATTTAAAACACAAGCTGATAGTAAACATCTAGGAGCTATGTCAGACATAAATGTTCTTCTTTTTGGTAAAAAATGGCAAAGACACATTTTATTGAGCTCTTATGACTGCTAAGAGCCTAATCAGTGATTAGTAGGCTGGCTTCCATTTAGCAAATCACAAACTCTCACAACCGGCAGTAAGTAGCCCACAGAGCATCTAATTCAAATAACTTACATTGCGGATGAGAACAATGGAGGTCCCAGGATGTTGAGTTCCCTGCCTAGAGGGATGCAGCTTGTTTATGGCAATGTCAGAACAAGGAATCCAGATTTTATGATTCCATAACTAATTTCTTCTCACAAAGTCCAGATGGATGGAGAATTTGAATTTGGTATCTAGGAGAAGGAGGGCAACAATGTCACTCTGAGCCTTGATTGACTGGTAGAGAATCTTGGAGTATGTGTTAAGTAGAATTTTGGAGTCACATTCAGGTTTATCAGAAAAGAGCTCCCAAGGTCAAATACGATTTCTCTCATGGGAGAAAGAAAACAAGGAGACCAGATGTCCACTTTACCATGTCACATCTTCCTGGGACACCCAGTTTTCTCATAGTCTTTATTACATGTATTCAAACTATGGGTGATGGTTGTAGGAATTGATTTTTAAAAATTATTAATGAGAATAAATGTGGATTTAAAGATAGTGCTCAAATATTGTCATCAACTATACAGCCTATTTGCCTATTCTGGGAACTTTCAGAGTTACCAAGAAAGTAGAAGACAAACCCCCTTTTCCCAGTAACCTTTAGTAGTGGGAAAATCACTTATCCTACCCCATTTTATCAGGGTCCCTTTATAATAACACAGTGCTTTGTTTTTCCAAAATGCACTCAGTTCATTTTCTTATTTGAAATACCAGTAAAAGAGTATAAAACCCAATGATAAAATTTGTGGTACCCACTGTGGATGCTTAAGGGAAAAATCTTTTGAAGAGGAGAAAAGAAAGTTAGTTAAATAAAAGTAGTTCTAACAAAATAAAGGCAATACATAGTACTTTCAAGACCTAGTAATGAGTGTTTCATTCAGATATTCAGATGGAAGCTTTTATGTCAATAAAAAGTGACTAAATGAAAAAGATTGATTTATTGTTCACATTTCACTTTTAAAAAAATTGCTTTGAAATTCTCTTCAGATTTCATGGTTAGTTGCTTGGCAGTCCAAGCTATGAAGTGGCATGATGCCTTTAGAGTTGTCAGCGTGCCTGAATGAGAAGCCAGAGTTCAAATCAAGCCGTCCAAGCACTGACTCATTCCAAATGTCCTCAACCAATTCTTTATGCTGCTGAGGTCTGTCTTTCATTCAGTGAAAGAGAAAAGGGAAACTGAATAGGTTCTACACTTCATTTGTATCACTTGAATGAGAACACTTCCTGCTGAATAGAGAGCATGCAGATTCTAAAATACGTGGAGCACATTTCACTGAGAATTATAGTGAAATCCGCAATGGCCAGGAACTCCACAAATAGTGGAACATCAGTTGGCCAGTACCTCCTCAAGTGGGTCCATTGTCCTCTTGGTTCCCATTTATTGTCTCTGAGCATCTCTCACAGAGGCATTTTGAGTGTTTTTCTTGCTGACAAAGCCAAAATGAACTGAATCAGGACCTTTGAAGGCAGTTCCTAGAGATTTAATATACTCATAGGTGACTCACATGTATGATCGTTAAAGTTTGAGAACTATTATTCCACTTTCTCCATAGTTCAAACTGAAAGCTTTTTACAGAAACCAAAGATTCTAGCCAGAGCTATTGTCTTCCTTAATAATATGATGAATCGGGAAAAAATGACCAGTTTTCTGTGTGAGAAAGCTTATGGGTGTGAGACTGAGCATCAGATGACTAAGGAGAACTGTGGAGACCACGTGTTATTCCAAAGACCCTGTCTTCTGATAAGGAGAAGCATGCTTCACTGGACAAACCCCACTCACTGTAGAGAGGGCAACTGCTTTTCTCAACCCGTCAATTTATATGTTAATTTCATCCAAAAACACCTTCACAGAAATACCCAGAAAAATGTTTGGCCAAAAATCTGAGCATGCCATGACTCCATCCAGGTGGCATATAAAATTAACAACAACAGAGCCTAAAGCAAAATCAAGATGGGGCATATGGCCATGGGATTCACCCACATACGGAGACTGCCAGCTGGGTAAAGTCATAGGTAAACTTAGACAGCATAGGTGAGCCACCAGCTGGAAGATACGGACACAGTTCACCTTAAATCACTGATTTTTCAAAAATATTTATTTATTTATTTGAAAGAGTTACAGAGAGAGGGAGAGACAGAAAGAGAGAAATCTTCCATCCATTGATTTGTTCCCTACATGATTATAATGCCAAAGGCTGGGCCTGGCCAAAGCCAGGAGCCAGTTGCTTCATCCTGGTCTCCCACATAGGTGGCAGGGTGTAGGGCAGAAAACACTTGGCCCATTTTCCACTGCCTTCCCAGGCCATCAGCAGTGAGAAAGATCAGAAGTAGAGTAGCCTGGATACGAACTGGTGTCCAAATGATTTTTATATAGTGCTGTGGTTCTAATAGTTAGCTTGTGTAGGTCCAAAGACAAACAGTAGACCAGCAGTGGGTTTGCTCCCAGGAGCCCACTTCATGTGCTTCCCATCTCTGCAACCTTGGATATTTTGGGTTTAGAAGCCCTGGTTTCTATAAAGGCAATATGTCCACCAAGAACAGAAATAATCCTATTAAACTTCAGATAATGGCCACCATCAGGTCATTTCAGTTGTCTGTATGAAAGACCACCAAGCTAGGAAACGAATTATCACTGTAGCAAACTTAATTGACATCCATCTTCAAGTGGAGTAGGTCTTTTTTTTAAAGATTTATTTATTTTTTAGAAAGAGTTACAGAAAAGGAGGAGAGAGAGAGAGAGGAGAGGAGAGAGAGAGAGATCCTCTACCTGCTGATTCACTTCCCAAATGGCAGCAATGGCCGGGGCTGGGCCAGGCCAAAGCCAGGAGTCAGGAGCTTCATCCAAGTCTCCCACATGGGTACATGGGCCTAAGCACTTGGACCATCTTCTGCTGCTTTCCCAGGTGCATTAGCAGGGAGTTGGATCAGAAGTGGAGCAGCGAGATGGAACTGGTGCCTATATAGGATGCTGGCATTGAGGTGGTGGCTTTACCTGGTAAGCCACAGCATCAGCCCTGGAGTAGGACTATTGCTGGGACAGAAAGCCTTTCACAGAGAGGGAATAAATACATTTAGTAACCCAGGAATCCACAAAAGCATCTCTTGGTACTGCCCTGTAGAGTTTTGATAGTACACAGGTAAGTGCAATGGCCACAGTCTGAAAACACTGAGTGAACTGGTGTGTGGACCCTTAGGGATTTGAGCGTGGGTTGCCTCAAGAATTAAGCCATCCAAACCTCCAGAGAATGTATTGGTGGAGGTGAGAAGTGACGAATACAGTTGAGCTTCTTAGGTGAACTGCAGAAACAAGGGCTAGCACTCATCTCAGCAAGCTGCTTCTGAATTACCCCCAGAAAAAGGCGCCTGGGCTAGCTGTTCATTGAGCAGGCCAACTTTTTATGTGAGCAAGTAGATCTGAGTGGCACGAGGGATAGACTCTGGTGCACGCTGTGATTTAAAAGTCATGTTCTGGGGGCCGGTGCTGTGGTGCAACAGGTTAACGTGCTGGCCTGCAGTGCCAGCATCCCATGTGGGTGACGGTTTTAGGTCCAGCTGCTCCGCTTCCGATCCAGCTCTCTGCTGTGGCCTGGGAAAGCAGTAGAAGATGGCCCAGGTTGTTGGGCCCCTGCACCCACGTGGGAGACCCAGAGGAAGCTCCTGGCTCCTGGCTTCAGATCAGCGCAGCTCTGGCCCTTGCAGCCAATTAGGGAGTGAACCATCGTATGAAGGACCTCTCTCTCTCTCTCTCTCTCTCTCTCTCTCTCTCTCTCTGCCTCTATTCTCTCTGTGTAGCTCTTTCAAATAAATTTTTAAAAAAAGTCATATTCTGGGGCCAACGCTGTGGTGTAGTGGGTAAAGCCGCTGCCTGCAGTGCCAGCATCCCATATGGGCCCCTGTACCCACATGCAAGACCCAGAAGAAACTCCTGGCTCCTGGCTTCAGGTCAGCATAACTCTGGCCATTTCAACCATTTGGGGAGTGAACCAGCAAATGAAAGACTTTCTCTCTCTCTCTCTCTCTCTCTCTCTCTCTCTCTCTGCCACTCTGTAACTCTGCCTTTCAAATAAATAAGTAAATCTTTTTTAAAAAAAGTCATATTCTCCCTTCAAGACTGAGACACTTACTCTCCCGTCTGTCAGGATTACTGCCTACTGTCAGATCGTAACTTAAAGGCTTACCAGAAGCTTCCCTTGCCCAGGAGGTCTGGGCCACTCAAATGCATGCTCCTCTTTCTAGGCACTGTCCTCCACAAATGACCTGTGAATTAGGGGGAAAGGGAGAACAAAGGTAAGGCCCATGTGCGTCATTCAAGAAAATCCAGGGCTGGCGCCATGGCTCACTTGGTTAATCCTCCGCCTGTGGTGCTGGCATCCCATATGGGCGCCGGGTTCTAGTCCCGGTTGCTTCTCTTCCAGTCCAGCTCTCTGCTGAGGCCCAGGAGGGCAGTGGAGGGTGGCCCAGGTGCTTGGGCCCTGAACCCGCATGGGAGACCAGGAAGAAGCACCTGGCTCCTGGCTTCAGATTGGCGTAGCTCCGGCAGTAGCAGCCATTTGGGGAGTAAACCATCGGAAGGAAGACCTTTCTCTCTGTCTCTCTCTCTCTCTCATTGCCTGTAACTCTACCTGTCAAAAAAAAAAAAAAAAAAAAGAAAGAAAAAAGAAAAAAAGAAAAAAAAAAAGAAAAAGAGAAAAAAAAGAAATCGGAAGACCATCTCCAAATATTGCTGGGGAATCTGTTGCAACTGTTTCACAATGCAACATCTCTGCTTAGTCTTACTTCCTCGACTCATCCAAGCTGTTCTTGGAGACTCAGAAAAGAACCCGGGAAAACTTCCCACTCACAATTATCTTTCCTAGACTCTACTTCCTAGGAACTTAACCCACATCAAGAGGATGCATCAGTGACCTCCACAGTAGCCTTACTTTACTATCACATGAAAAAACTTAAAAGCAAAAAGCACAATCCGCTTGCATCCCAGCACCACTTACTGTGGTCTTTCTCAGATATATGTGGGAACTCCATTGGCAACACAAACTGATGGAACAAATACAATACCTCTGTCCGTATTTGAGTGATGTAATTTACAGAGTCCTTGACATCATTGTCATTTATTATGCAAAAATATGAAAGTAGCCTGCCTCTGAGCAGATTCCACCTGATTCGGATGACCTCCAACGTTCCCTCAAGGCCATGGCTGAGCTAAGAATCCTCACGAAGTCCTCCAGAGGATGGATTTCGGAGCTGTTGCTGAGTTTAAGTTGTGAGTCCAAAGTAGAGCAAGCCTTCTTTCCAGAAGCATTTAGAAATGTGGATGTGCGTGGCACTCTTCCTAGGGGACAATTTATTGGGTCTTGATCAAAATATACAGGATTATTTGTAGTTTCAAAGAAGGAGATGGCTAAATCTCACTATGTTTAAAGTTGAACAGATATCCCAAACTGTTTTTCAAATTGAGTACAAACAAGAAGTCACAAAGCCTTCCTGCAAATGTGAGCTGAATCTTGCTGACTCTTTTTTTTTTTTTTAAAGATAATACATCCAAATACTGCTATATTTTAAAATGTCTGGGACAGCTGGTGATATTTCAAGAGGAAAACTGGAAAGTTTTTTTTATACCTTTAGGCAAGAGTGAATTATTTCAAACACCAAGTGGTTCCAAATCCCATTGAGCCCGAGGGCTGTGTTTCTGGAGATTTCTGGTGGGCTCTGTACTTGGCATAATAAACTTCCTCTCCTGCTTCGTTCCTTCCACCTCAAATGGCTGCATGCCCTCTCTCCAGCCCTTGAAACAGACCTCTGTGTTGAATGATGGATAATAGTCATTTTCACCAATTCACTTTAAGAACTATGTTTAGTTCCCAAACACTAAAGCAGCAAGAACTGCTCCCCTAGGAAAGCAGTAAAAATACAATCCAAACAGTTTACATTTCAAAGGTCAAATGCATAATTCCATGCCGCAGCCTCATTTTCTCCCCACAGGCAATGTGGCATAGCACTCAGTAGACAGGGCTGCATTCACATGGAAGGACTAGTCAGGGGCTGTCAGAGGCGGGGAGGTCCTCAGACAGGACACATTTTTATGTTTTTCTTTTATAGATGAAACAAAAGGCTCCAGTGAAGTGACAGCACAATGGAGAGGAAAAGAGACATGATGTTGGACCCACAGGGCTCTTCCGTTTGCTCCTACATGCACTCTGATCAGCCTTGTTATCCACCGGGCTCCTTTGCACAGCATTTGCTATCATTCCCTTTGCATGGGCTCCGTCTGTCACCCACACTTCCACCCTGCCTTACCTGCCCTCAACCCTTGTCACCCTCTCACAAGCTGACATTGCTGTTAAGGCTTAAGACGTTAAACCAGAGCACCACTTGGGACCGCCCATGTTTGTTAGGGCCTTTTGCAGGCAGAATCTTTTACATAACCCGGAGGCCAGCAGGGCTCTCCTGCTGCCTGGGCTGTACTGTAGAAGCAGAAAGCTGACAGTGTCTCCTCTGTGGTCTTCATCTTGTGCACAGATCCAACAAGCAGTGACCTCTGTCTTTTGTGCAGAACTGAAAAAGTCTCATCTTTATTTTTTTTAAAAGATTTATTTTATTTATATGAAAGACAGAATTACAGAAAGAGGTAGAGACAGAGAGAGAAAGGTCTTCCTTCCGCTGGCTCACTCCCCAAATGGCCACAATGGCTGGAGCTAAGCAGAACCGAAGCCAGGAATCAGGAGCTTCTTCTGGGTCTCCCACATGAGTGCAGGGGCCCAAGGAGTTGGGCCATCCTCCGCTGCATTCCCAGGTGCATTAGCAGGGAGCTGGATCAGAAGTGGAGTAGCTGAATGGAAGACCCCCCCCCCTTCTCCTTCTCTCTGTGTGTAACTCTTTTAAATAAATATATCTTAAAAAAAAAAAAAAGGAAGAAGAAGAAGTGGAGCATCCAGGACACAATCTGACGCCCATAGGGGATGCTGGCAGTGCCACAGGCCAGGGCTTTAACCTGCAGGACCACAGCGCTGGTCCCTCATCTTTGTTTTCTTACTCAAGCCAAGCACTGATGTCTGGGGCTGTCTCTTCTAAACCTGTCATGTAGTAGTTTCTGAACTTCCCAAAGCGTCCTGAGATTTCAAGCTCTACCCCAACTCCCATCCCCTCTTCAGTCCCCTCTTCAACTGTTTTTCTCCCATGTCCAAGACTGTGTTTCTTAGTGCACGGGCATCCTATGCAAGCCTTTTGTGATCCTAGACAAATGTCTGAGGTCTGGGGATGGGAGACGGATCCCTAACTGGTGAGTGGTGAGGGAGGAGAGTGTCTCTGAAGACGGGGACTTCTGTGAAAAAGACCAAATCTTTTATAATAAATAGCCCTGTTACTTCTTTCCAATGCTGAGCATCTTACATGTTTTGAAGCTGTGATTTCACCACAGGAGACACTTTCCTATCAGGCATTTTTTTAATGGAACAAGTAGTGAGATGTAATGAATAACCAAATAAATAAATTGTCCATGCTTTCTTTACAACATTGACCTAGTCAGGTGCAAAAGATATACTATTCGGCATCAGTGTTTGCTTACTAAAGAGACTGCTGCCAGTGGTCAGTGCTATAACAGTTCCATGTGATGAGGCATGGAGGAGAGAGCTGTGGTCTAAAGACACAAGCAGCAAGAGTAAATAACACGGATGAAGAGTGGGGACTTTGGTGACAAAAAGTCCCAGGTACCACACACTTTGCACTGTTTTACACAAATCCTGTAATCTCTTGGGACCTCAATTTCCTGATCTGTAAGATGTTTTAACAAAACTTTCTTAGTGGGTTGGATATGAGGATATAATGATTTTATACATATATGCACACATATTTGCACCTATTCACATACATATAATTACATATATACACACACATATATATTATGTCTGGTCTATGATAAAATAAACAATGAATGATAGTAATTACTTTTAGTAATCAAAATGAATGTTTAGAGATTCAAGTCAGCATACACAACAGAAACCTACACTACAAAATAAGCTCTTACAACATATTCCATTCTTTTTTTCTATCAAAATCAGTGCCAAGTAAAAAAATTAAAAGTCAGTGTTGTTTTTTTTTTATTCCTTTCATTTCCATGTCTTCTGCTAAAAGTTCTCCCATGGATAAACAGTGAGGTTAGACGAGAAGAACAGCGGTTCAGATTAGATAATTAAGAGGCGAATAATAGGACTAACCTAAAGTGAGTATAGACTTTTAAAATAATATCACAAATTGAGATCACACCATCAGATAATAATATCATTGATATTTGTATGGATTTATTTTTTTATGTGAAAGGCAGAGCTACAGAGAGGCAGAGAGAGACAGAGAGATCTTCCATATGCTGGTTCACTCCCCAAATTGCCACAACAGCTGGACCTGGGCCTATCTGAAGCCCGAAGCCAGGAGCTTGTTCCGGGTCTCCCACACAGGTTCAAGGGCCCAAGGACTTGGGCCATCTTCTACTGCTTTCCCAGGCCATAGCAGAGAGCTGGATCGGAGGTAAAGCAGGCAGGTCTTGAACGAAAGCCCATATGGGATGCCAGCACTGTAGGCAGCAGCTTTACCCTCTACACCAAAGTGCCAGCCCAAACAATATCATTTATTAAGATATTTGATTTCCTCAAAATTTTGAAATTGAACCCCTGCAGTGTGCCTAGAATGCAAATACTGTATACCATCAGATCTTGGTTGCCCATGGTCTCCCAGCCTCCATCCCTTAGTTGCAAGTTCCCCTTGCCCTGCTTTCAGTGAAATTAACTCCCTAAATGGAGTGAGTGCTGCAACCAGCCTTACACAGTCCCTAACCACCTGATTCACAAGGTCATTTATTTCCCCTATAGGTTACATCCTGATGTTTGGTCTTGTCCTGAGGGGTTTCTTCACCAGGAACTCCAGGCCCTGAAAAGAAAGTAACTACTACCTGCATGTAGCCCTCAGACTGACTGGGGCCCACTTAGCCATTATCAAAATTCCCTAAGGAACACAGTATAATCAGTAATCAAAGGCCAACCAACCGGGGACCTGGACACACATTCAACACACACCTTTCAACCCAGCTCTAGTCTATAGGAACCTTGACCCCTAACTCCTCAAGGAGCCCAGCAGTTATGTGATGACATCCAGCTCCTTGCTCTACAACCATGCAATAAACACCTACTTTCTTTCACCACTCTGCTATCAGAAAATATCTTGGTGAGCATGATGTGAGCAGACCCAGTTTAGGGGGGGATTCTATAGCA